CCCCAAAACCCCAAAACCCCAAAACCCCAAAACCCCTTTTTTGCTTTCAATATTGAACGCAAAATATTAAATAATTTACACTGATGTTGAGGCCTCCTTACCTAGCTACTCGTAGATGATGCCTTAGCTTTACTGGTTTTATTCGTCCATTCATCATTATTTTACCTAACTTCACATCTTTTAATGTCAGACTTGCATTGTGTAGTGAAGTATTTCCTGAAATAGACTTTAGACTTGTTTTATTTGCCTTAAACCTTATTTTGATTGTATCAGCAGGAGTACAATACGCATTTTTATTACTCAAACTAGTCATTGCTTGATGCGGCCAATAACGGTTGTTCTTCCCAGTCTCCTTTTTGTTCGACTCCAATCCTACATCTTTTGGAACTTGAGAATTGTTGTGATTTCTCCTTACCTTACTGTGATTATTTAAATTCGGCAGCAAGTGTAGGCATTCGTCTTCTCTTTGTGCTGGTTACCCTCCTCTTTTCCTCTTCAGTGATTGAAGTATTGTCTATATTTGGGGTTGAAGCCATCTCAGAGCTAGCCAAGAATTTCAATTCAGCCTTCTGTGTGCTATTTTTCCTTATACCTTTAGTTGTATGGCTTTTTGGAGAGAGTGGCAAGGACTTAAAGTTATTTCCTCTTCACTTGGATTTTATCAACTCCGGAGATCCTACTCATCCTTGTAGAATCGCTAATATTGCCTGAGCTCTTTAGTAAAGCAGTCAGATCATCGAAGCAATAGCTATATCTAGGTTCCAAATATTTGTTTTGCTCCATATAGGCAAGTGTTTTATGTATTTTTGTAATTTTCTTACTCCATGAGATTTCGTCAGGGAGAGATTGTCCATTAAAATTAGCCACTATTTTCTCAGACATCATGGAGATTAATTTTTCGACTAGCCTATTATAGAAATCTTCTTGGTTCCTTGTCGCGAAGCCACTATAAATTGACATTTTAAATTTATGCACTTAATATAATAAATCTATGAAATTTTACAGGGGTTTTGGGGTTTTGGGGTTTTGGGGTTTTGGGG